GATGATGATCAGTAACACTCCCTTCACCTGTTAGCAGTTTTAATGTTGTGTACGTTTCCTATAATCTGGTCTCACACTAAGCAATTATAAAATAAAATGACATATAAGATACCCAGTGGGGAGCGGTGCGTGTTCAGAGGGGGAGTGGGGATTTATTAGACGAGAGAGGAAATGCTGTGTTTTGGCAGAGTGCCTTCATAAAAGTTCTTCATATTTCTGCCAAAATGTTTTGGCTGTTCTGCTGGAATGAAAACATTTTATTTATTTATTTATTTTTAGGAAATCCATCATCCTACTAAAATAGCTGAGTTTGCTCTCACTTTACAGCCTTTGTTTCACCTAATGTGTCCTGGTTTCAGTGGAAAATGTTGTTACCATTAAATAAGGCATTTTTAATGGTGTTACTGTGAGACGAACATGGGAATCATGTCCAGGATAATGGCAATAAAGTTTCATTCTATATCCAAAATTCTTAAAAATTGTTCAAATGTAAATTTAGAAAAAGGGGGAACAAATGATAAGCAAAGGATTAAAAATACAGCTTTTAGAAATAACAGTTAATGTCCAGGCACCATGAACGGGGGCAGTACCAGGACTCAGGACTCTTCTTCTTTCTTTCACACACACGAATCATAACCAGATTTCTCTAACATTATAGGAACAATCAGACTACATTGGTTTCACCACAAGAATCAGCACAATAGATACGTTAGTTTTTAAAATATAACCATAATTAAAATCATACCATTAAAAAAACATATAACTTTCTTTAGCATGAACAATTGAGAAGTTATTTCACTGATTGAATTTATTTTAAGTTGTAATAGCTAAAGTCGCCTGAATCATTGGTAGATTGTTTGTTAGATATACGGATTTAATACATTTCTAACTACATAGGAGGTGTCTGTATGCTCTTAGCTTTTATTCCAGTTTTGGTATATAAACATATACTTTACTTTGTAAAGTAACTCTGTCTTTCACAGTTCCTCTCCAGTCAACTGTAGCTTTGTTTTCCAACTAAATGTAAGATTTTTATTCCTCAAAGATGTTATATGGATGCTGTGATGGAGGTGTAGTGTTACATGCAAACGGACTGTAATTCAAGCAATCGAGGTTTTTAGTAATGAATCCCACATGGGTGGGTTTAGTTTTATAAAGAATGTTAAATATCAGGGTTAGGGTTATGTAATGTCGATGTAATTTTTGATTTTTTTTTAGTAACTCAGCAAAGATGTAGTTGCGATTCAAAGCTTTGCAGATGACTGCATCTTGTCACCAGGGGGCAGCATCAAGAATATGTGAAACAGCTGGCAAGAAGGGCGGATGTTTTTTGTTTGTTTGTTGGTCCTCTGGCT